GTGCACCGCTGTGGAACAGCTATTAGTTTCGATCAAAATAAAAACAGCGCATGAGTCGTACATATGTTGAAACAATTCCGAGAAACAGTGTATCGTGATACATGGTCAGAATTGAAGTCGCTCTGATTAGCAAGCCAGAGCTCATTCCCGGATGTTGATAAATTGCATCACCAATTTGCCACTGCTTTTGCACCCAGCTCAATACCACCTTCATTTCCATTTGCCGAATAGAACCAACCTGTCTCAACGATTGATGTTTGAAAGGATATGACTACCCCCAAATTTGTCTGAATAACACACATCCAAGGAACGTTATTCGAAGTACAGACTGATTGGTTTTTCCTAACCACTAGAAAAGTGCTGTTAAACCGGATAATCGCCTTTGGCTAATGCTCATGATCCTCTTTCAATTGCTGAAAAATCTTCCCTTTACATTCCAGCCGCACTTGTCCACTTTGTTTATTCCGCGGGTTCCGCATCATACTAAGAGTTTGGCGCTATTGCTTCAAATTTCCTGGAATATGGAAATGCCCTTCGGTCACTTGACTGGAGCATTCTAATCCAAACTCTGGGATTGAGACCTAAGACCTGATGTACTCAACGCCCCTAAACGTTGGCTTTTCACAAGGAACACGGTCCACTTTTTGCCAGTTCTCCCGGGGTTTTCAGAGAGTTATTTTTTCCGTCATTCCGTTTCTCTCTGTATACTAAACAAGCTTTCCATCCTTCCTAATTTGATCACGTGGAAGCAGGATGACTTGGTAATTGAGTGTCTGCAAAACTCGGAGTGAAATCGCGCTGAATCGAGTAACTTCAAGTAGAGTCACGGCGACCTAGGGATACAGTTAATTCTATTCGGAAATTGAAGCAAGCCATCACGTGTCATTGGCCCATTGTACAATTTCAGTCGACAACACAGCCCGTTTGTTGCATTCAGCCACTCTGATTGCTTGTACCTGGGCCCATAAGATTTGCCGCAATATCCTGTTCCAAATCGGTTACCTGAATGCTGAAATGAGGTGCGTGAGTACCGTCGTCCGACCAGCACATCTAACCCCTCGCCTTTTTTGACATTTTCCGTTAGCTATAAGTCTGCCCAGATCTCTGTAAGTCAATGCGTATAACTGTTTTGACGTCTACGCAGAACTTAAAACGGGCTCCTCTTGTCATATCTTTTTTAATACTGAGCCAGAACATGCTGTTCAAGGAGTTAACGTCATATCATTCCTAAGCACGCATCATAAAAGCAACTCAGAGTTAGCTTGCAGAATCCAAATGTTCTGAAAACATCCACATTAGGGTTAGAGACCGTCTTTCTAGGCGTGCCCATTTTGCCAATCGTGTATCATCCCGTACTTGCTGAAAAAAATTCCGGCTTCTCATGGCACCTACTACTTCTTAACGAAAGCCATCATCCCTTAGCACAGTGACTCGAACCACCACCATTATTGAATTGACAAACCCAAAAGGTTTTAACATTGCTTTCTTTTTGCACGCATTTATTTTGGTACACTTCTTGTTCAATTTCTGTACATCTTTATCCGCTGTCAAAGTGATCAAAATTCGCCGCATTGGGTACTTGAGGGCTGTTTCGGCACGACGCATTGTGGGATCACGTTATTCCGTGACACCCTATCTGACCAATAAGGAACAGATCGTTAATGAATCACATCAGACTTGGTGTCTATAAACCATAAACTTCAACGACATTCTTCAAGTTGCTTGCGATGTAAAATTGTATATTTTATTCAATGTGATAACCAGTGTACATTTTTACCTGAAACGTAAGCACGTAAGCTTACGCAAGTTATACAAACACAAAATTTCATCTGAATAATTCGCGGTCATTCTGTTAGTTTTTTTCCAAACATCCTCCTGTTTGCCACCAGCAAGAGATGCCTTGCATACCTGCTGAATAATTTGCACACCTTTATTTAGTATGTAGGTTGTTACATTGTGACAACCAGACCGTAAACATTAGTTATGGTTTCAGCTTTTGCAACAATAATGAGATGCCCGAGTGCCAACGTTTGTGACACCCAATTATATCGCTGTCTCTAACCCCCGGCTACCAGGATCTCGGAGTCCCCATTCAGGGGGTTTAACGGGACCTGTGTGACCCAATCTCCAGGTTAGATTTCATACATCCACGCCAGGTTTTAAATTGGCAGCCTTTGTTCCAACCGCTTCCTGCCTCGGCAAACATTGCGCGCCGTGGCAACCTATTTGGGGATATACGCAACACATGCCCCAAACAGCGTAGTCTATGGCGGTCTGTCATTTGCTCCAGCGGAAGACCTTAGTAACCTAAAACTCTGCACCAAACCTCAGCATTGATTGTCCGGTTTCGCGTCCAAGCTCGTGCAATGCGGCGTAGACAGCAGTGTCCGAACACGGACGATATATTTTTTATCCTGTTCCCGTCTCTGAACCGCATAACAACACTGGTTTTTCGAACCTCGCTAGCTCGGACAGGGGAAAAAATGATTTCGTATCACTAAGGTTTTGGACGCAAACTTATGGTAGTAATCAAACAACTAAAATCTATGGAGTTTGAATGTAGGAAATTACTTTCTCAAATAGTTCGATAACTTGAGAACAAACACAAATCAATCACGATCAATAAAGATAACTACTTCCTGGAAAAAAACAGAAAAGTATTGTGAATAATTACTGGTTTGTGGGCAGCTAAAGAATACGAACACCTTCGGAGAGTAATAAAAGTAAAAAGAGCGGTACACAACTGGAATAAATGGGCAATTGTTTTCCTCTATCGTGATCCTGAGCTACTGATCTAAGCTTCAAACATTACATTATTTTTCATTCATGCAGGCAACTATGAATTCGTTCAGCGCAACGAGGGAAAATATTAGAACCTTGGTTCAACATTCAGACCCGGAGCTCTACATCTAAACCAACTACAGGGACTTAACAATGACCTCAAAAAGCCTCTATATGGTCGGGGGCGGGTGTCTAGATGTGCGGCTAATCACCTCTCCCTTGCACCTCGCGAAATGCTGCATTCCGACCAAACGTCTCACGTCGCTCCTGATGAAGAAGCCTTGCTCACTGCCTTCTCGTGGTGATTCTTACCCACCAAAGTGTGAGGACAAAAAAGCCAACAGCCTGGGCTATAACCAGTTCGGTGCAAAGAAATCCCTTTACTATACGAACATAAACTGATATCTTCATTGGCGACTATGGACACAGACCATCATCATTGTGCAGCATAATACAATGAAGCGAACTTCACTGATCGCTGCCAAGCTCATAAGGCACACAAGGTAAGTGAGAATGTGTAAGGAAGATAGGGATTGGGCCTATGTTGGAAACAGGGAAAGAAAGAGAACTTCTATGGATGCAGTCCAACTGTGCGTACTTCCTATTTCAAGCATTCCCGTCGAATAAGTAACACCAAGATCGCCATTGCTGTCTCTTTGCAAGCATGACCTTCATTGTCTCCAACCATCCGGTTATGGAGTCTTTCGGACCCCAACGCGAAGACCAGAGACACCTACTCTACCTGATCGCTCTGTGCATTTCCTCATGCCTCGGCTCCACGTCATCTGCTGACTTCTATGTCAATAAGGTGCGCTGCGGTAGGCGACCGTTGGTCACGCAAAACGTGTCCTAACCAACGGAGCCTTTACGATAGCGAATTCGTTCTTGATGCATTATCAAACACCCGACGATTTACATCTAGATACCCAACCTGCTCACTCCATCCCNATAGACTGTCGAAAACCACTAGACGACAGACGTCTTTTACCACAGGATTCAAGGTCTCACAACCGCAAAGCAGAACTAATCGTAGTGGTACAGTATACGCGACTTCTCAACTTCAATAAAACGTCACCACAGCTGTTTTAGTCCTGCGTACAATACTCGAGCCTTGGAAATGCTGGTGGTTATCTCCTTTGATGCACTACCGTTGATAGTCACGTAGGTACGAGATGCAATCAACTTCAGCCACATCCTGACCGGCTGGTTTCAGAACAGGAACGGCAACACCCAGTCATTCATCCTAGTTAGTGTGTATCGCCTACTCCATGCCCAAATACAGTACTTACAGCCTAATCAATTACGGTAGTTTCGCAATTGAATACCTTCAGTAATAACCAATAACCTCCCTCGCCAAATTCTGTTGGGCGCACTTTCTGGACAGAACTCGGAGCTGGGAAACAAAGATCGGACGTACATCAAAAAAGCAAAAAAAAGGCTTTATGTATTCGTGATTCGGCAGGACAGTAAACAAAAACCACTGCAAGCTTAAAGGAAATTTTACACTATGTATAGGGAAGGGATGAGTTACTGAGAGTCGTAGGGAGGAACCGGATTTGCACCTCAAATCGGGATACTCAATACAGGAAGGTAGCGCAACAAACCAGCGGTAAAGAAAGGAAAAGCAAGACAAACATGTAAGGGACTTACACACCCCTCCACAGTATAGAAAATACGTAATAAGAGCAAGAGTTTACGTGGAAGAGAGACAGTGCAGTAACCTTGTGAAAAAACACGAATGATTGGAACTGGGGAGAATAGCATTGGCGGAGTCATTTCACAGTTGGATCGCAGTAGGGAACGGCAAGAGGAAAACTGGTCACGAAGAATAAATACCATATAGAACTGTAATAATAGGAACTGAACTTAGTTCTGGTATGGAGCCGCTGGGCGGTATCGACTAAGGTAGAAAAAAATAGATTACAATACTTGTCCACAACCAGAAACAGCATTAGTTTAGATACGGGATTGCTAACACCGAGAAAGGAGAGGATAGAAGGCACCGCGTAGTGAGTAACAAACCAATAAAAGTAATTGGTTTTGTATTTCACCTATATCTGTGCATTCATAAATGCACATAGGTAATTGAGTTCTGTAAAGAACGAACGTCACAGCAACCGGAGAGCCTGGTGGGAAAGGTTTCTGCACGACGCCGCATGGATCACGACTAGAATGGATTGTTTAGCAAGAGTCTTGCTTCTGAAAACCGGCAATCTTCTTCAGACTATATCGGGAATAGCCGGGGAACTGCGGTTGCTTGTGTTTCTTTGGGGCACATTCACTGTCAACGAAGCTGAAGTCGACGGCAGCCGCTTGCGGTAGCCATAGAATCCATCGGGAACTTCGAACTAGGTGAGAAGGTGGGGGAGGGTAAGTTGGTCACGTCATAAAGACAATTCAAACGCGCCGAAAAATTCAAAGCTATTGAGAACTTACGTTAGCACGGAAGTCTTCAATGGTTCTGTATTTGCGTAATAGTTTCATGAGTTGTGGATCCATTTCTACACGACGACCACTGTAGTGCAAGAAAGCCCAGAATTTCTCCAAACCATACAAATGTCCGTTATTGTAATCGCGCAAAGTCTCTTCCTGAAAAAAATCGAAAGGGGCGTTTAACTGCAATTGAATATTCATGAACACTATGCGTTGGTTCCGGTTTACGACCAAGAAATTAAGGGTTATTGTACAGATGAGATCTGACGTCTAAAGCTATAACCGTGGGTTATTTTATATTTGAAATGAAGTGTAGAAAAATTTAGAAAGGGAAATGTTTTGTGTCTAAATATCCTATGAGCATTACTGCTCTATACGAAACACAGGGGTTTAGTACTCGCTCACCACATCGCACTCGATTCACTAAGGAGTAAAAAATAGCAGATCAACAGAGAATGGAGACATGCATGGGGATCTAGTTTTCTACTGCGTATTACGGTTAAACAGTGAATAACCGTAGTTGGACAGACAGATGCAAACCCTTGGATAAGTGAGCCGCTTAATAACGGTCTCGAATGATCCGCGTCGGGTGTCCGTCAAGTTTGTACTCTTCCTGAAAAAGTTTCAAACATATGTGAGGAAAACATTGGGACAAAAAAGGTTTGACGCGCCACTGAACAAGATTAATCTCACCTTTTGGCTGCTGCAGGAAGACTACACCTATTTTCATCGTATTACAGAAAACACTCGGGTTCTCAAGGGCTGGTTTCTTCCTTACAGGGATAACTAGATTGAAGTACCGACACGGAATAGGACGACATGATCAACTGCATTTTCTTGTATTTGTCCCGGAAAGGCCAACTTTTTTCCCCCCAATTATTCGTCTTTGCATTCCAAAGATCGTGAGTCACTAGCGATAACCAAAGTTTCTGGGGGTTTCCCTGAATGACGCCTGCTACGACGGTGGTTATTTCAGTACAAACAATTATAATTGACGATAAAAAGACATGATTCCACAACCAAATTGATAACCTGGTTATGTGGACCGAAACTATGCCACTGGATTTACACGAAAGAATCACCTTAGGCCCCGATTATGATGAGAACATCATCATTATCGTACAGCGAAACACATGGAGGCGAACTTCACTGATCGCTGCCAAACTCACAATGCATGCAAGGTTAGTGGTAACATTCAAGGTGGACAGGGATTGGAACTATCTTGAGGGAGGGGGAAGGTGAACCTCTATGGTCAACACACAGAGTACGCAATCGAACTCTGCATACATACCGTTTCAAGCATTCTGACCTGATAAGAAATGACAACAAGAACGCCACTGCTGTCGGTTCGCTGCCATATCCTTCAGTATCTCCAACCAACCAGTTTTGGAGTCTTTCGGGCCCCAACCTGGAAGGCGAGAGACACCTTCCCTATCTAATGGTTCTGTGCATTTCTTCACGCCACGTCTCCACATCATCTGTTGACCTCCCCGTGGCTTCCTCCAGCCCGGATAAGCTACAGCGGATAAAGCGCGGTGCGGCAGACGATGGCTGGGCATACGCAATACGTGCCCTAGCCAGCGAAGTCTACTAACCTGAATTCGGTGTGCTAGTAGGTTTATGCCTGACAGACTCCCAAACACACGACGGCTTACCTCCACGTTACTAACCC